TTTTATAGATTGTTACTGGTCCTGTGGGTGGGAATAAGGGGCGGAGCTCATCGTTTGTATGCTGCCATGAAAGGCACCAGGAAATACAGCTATAAATCTGTAGGCACACGAGTGCCTAGGCACATTTACATGCCAGAAAATTATCTGCTATTTTCAGCAGGAATTCCGGACAAAAGGTACATTTTTCAGGCTTGTGCTTAGGCGCAATAAACATTTAGATATTTTCCCTATAAGAGCAAAACTATATTTTTTGAGTTCAGTTCCGCTTAGGGATTGGGTGTTCAGCCAGTAGGTGAAAAGAATGTATTTGTGAGTTCACAAGATCACTAAATATATACTATATTGATAAATATGCATAATTGTAGTCCATTACGAACTGCTGGTGGGTCCTAGAAAAACGCATGCAAAAACTGTAATGTAATGTGCGCAGAACTGGTTTGCTATGAGCCTGCAATCAGGATGTTTAGCCCCTCTCTGCATATTCCCCCCTCTCTTTTTTAATCAAGTTCTAAATAAATGGAGTAAATTGTGAAAATTAATAAAAATGCTTAATTTGCTCAATATTTTAATTACACTTAACAGTTTTCCTAGTAAGAGTTTGATAGTATGGAATACTGCCATATTTTTCTATAAACAGTAAAGGTGAGCACAGCATAATTATTACTGTTTGTTTTACATTCCGTATGAGCTACAGAATAATTGACATCATCTGTGTTCCATTTTCCCATAGCGATGGTCTTGCTCATTATATTAAGAGGTGCCAGTAAACATATCAATAAGGTGATCGGTCTGAGGTCCTGCACATTATTTAGCTGCCACGCATGCATTTTCATGAGGCAGCGTCTGCCGCTAGACGCGCAATGCGAGAGGTTCGAAGAACGGGGACTAAGGCTTTGATATATCTGTTTGATGTTTATTTGTAGTTGTTTCATTATGTAGATTAATGCAAAGATATGATGGAGACAAAGAAAACAGGCTGGGAGCCAGGAGACATATTGAGGCTTTAAAGGAATAAAGCACATTAACATAAGAAGGATGGAGGAGATATAATGCTGGCACACTTCAGCTTGCTGAATTTATTTACCATAAAAATTGAAATCTGGGTTTACGAACGATTCCGGTGTTTATTTAAAGTGTGTCAACAGCAGTGATTTGGTAATCAGGATTTAGCTATGGAGATCTTCATCCCGCTTATTTGTCTGTAGTGTTTCTAAATACACACGTTTGCTGCTGTTTAGCTATTACTCCCAGCATGACTGTGGTGTTCCCAGATTGGGGTGCAAAAAACTGCATGACATTCAATAGAATAATTCATAGTTTTACCCTAAGCGTACAGTAAAACATTGTAGGTTTTCACGTTAAGCTTACAGATATCACAACACCGTTGTTTTCAGATAATAGCCTTTTGATTTCATGTAAATTATGTGTATCCCTCCCCAGCTCACCTAGAGAATGTGATTATATTGAAACAACCTTTGGGCTATGAAAGTAATCAATGCAAGACACCGTCTTTGACGCTCCGTAAAAGCTTATATACAGTTGCCTGTAAACTTTCCCTAAAGATCAAAGTTAAGCTATTCCGTAGAATTCTTCATACCTTTAAATCCTTAACTACATACAAAGATCACCCTTTTCCATACAAAAGTATAAAATCTGATCTTCAAAAATGGCAAAACGTATCCATATAATGGCTTCAGAAGTTACCATGTACATACTAAACAGACATCTGCATCTATGGTTGGCACTGCCTCTGACTGTACCTGCAGATCATTCCTTTCACCAAAAATTCTTCCAGTTTTTGAGACACTAACACAAGCCAAGAATCCCTTGCACCATCTTATTAAAATGGAACTGCACCCATGAGAACAATTTCCTCTCATCTCCCCCCTCTTCCCCCATTCTTCATACTCAATTGCAGATATGTTTTATGTAAAAAAAAGTATATACCTTTTTTATCTACCATAGTGCCACTTCCTGCTTCCTTGCGTAGAAGAGCCGGCCAACCACTGCCTCCTGAGATGTCTAGGTCATACATCCCAGGAGACAGTACTTCAGTATTTCAGCGCGAGGTCCCACTCATTCGCAGACATGCTGCAGGTATATTGGAGATCCAGCAAAAGCCTAGACATGTCATGGGTTTCTGCCAGGTCCCATATACCTGGAAAAGGCCTGCAGCATGTCTGCACAGGATTCTGTTTCAAGATGTTGGCGTGGAAGAAGAGCGACGGATGGAGAACTTTGACTGCCAAGAGGACAACTCTGGATTCCATGGACTAATAAGTAGACATGTGCACTGCCAAAAAATTTGTTTAGTTTCGTTTTAAATTCGGATTCGTTTTTCGGGATTCGGGTGTGAAAGTCAATTCGGACGAAATTCGGTAGCGGTAGGTCGAACATTCGTTTTGTTTTCTGTTCTTATTCGTTTCTTATTCCGTTCGTTCGTTTGCAGCAAAGTGACATTTGAGGGGGAAAAAATATTTTTCTCTAATGTCACTTTGCTCCAACGAACGAAACGAATAAGAACCGAAACCGAAACGAACGTTCGAACCACCGCTACCGAATTTCGGAAATGGAAATTCGGATTCGTTTGCATTCATTATATCTGTAATTCGGAATTCGGATACATCCGAATGTCCGAATTTCCGAAAATTCGTCCGAATTTCGATTCGGAACGAAACGAATCGCACATGTCTACTAATAAGTATGGTTTTGTTTTTTTGGGGGTTTTTTTCATACAGGGACAAGTTTTAGAGAGTTGAAATGTAGGTTAGTAAGGTAAAGTTCCTCTTCAACTAGGAGAACCAAAGAGGAATTTGCTGTCCCTTATCTCCTCCACTATAGAGCATCTCACCTCTGATTTAACACTTGATGTTCTATCCAATAAACAAAAAGGGCTCCAACTGAATTATTGCTTTTGTATCCTGCGCATCCACACCCATTTCTTTGGTGTGATGTGTGAAGGACAGAAATAATTTTACACTTAGGTTTGCTTTAGGTCCACTTTGAAGCATACTTCAGCTCCCTTCTGAGAGTTCTTTTGAGTATTTTTTGTTTCCTGTCCTTACTGACTTGCTATTCCTTGCGCTGTTCCTATTCCTATTCGCTTTGCATTTGTGTGCAGGAAGTTCTCTTGTTAAAGCGCCAAGGGTTTACTCAGTGAGATTGGTGATTTGTTGGTTTGGGAATATTCTAAAAGCAGCAGCATTTGGTGTAGGAATCACAAATCCACAAAATAAGGCAAAAGCATGGAGATCCTTGCACCTCAGGTACAACTTCCTCTTCAGCAAGAACAGTTAGATGCACAGTAGTGATATTACCAAATCTCATAAAACTAACAGTCAGAGCCAGCAGTGCCTTAGATCTCACACAACAGATGTTTAGCAATGAGTCTGTAGGCACATGAAGTACACTGCTTTTTCAGGAGGAATTGAAGGCAAAGGGTTGATTTTTCAAGGCTCAATTAACACTTCTGGATGTTCCCTGTAAGAGAGCAAATGTTCACTTTTTGGATGTAGGTCCGAATGAACTCTAAAGGAATCTTCCTAACCCTGCATCCAGGGTCAGAGGATTTAGGTCTGTGGCAGGTGCTGACATGCATATTCATTGTACAAAGCCTGGATACAGTACATTAATATGGATGAGTAGATTTCAATTTAATCTCACAGTGAATAGAGGATTCCACGACTACTGATATGACACGCATAGTATTTGACAAAAGACAACAGTACTCTCTCATGGATGTTTATAAAAGAGAATATAAACAGAATAATAGCTAACATATGTGTATTGAATAGGAGCTGTTAAGCCTCATGGGCTTCATTAAAGAACTCCAGGTTTTTTTTTTTTTTTTTTAAATTAACCCTTGCAGTGGGGCTACCCCCCACTGCAAGTGTTAAGTGCTTGTTTTGGTCTAGGGACAAAAATATAGAAAATATACTCACCTGAACCTCGGTCCCATCTAGCTGCTAGACTGGTCCCCACAGCCTCTTCTCCTCCTTGCTCTGGCGGTCTAAGGACTCATGACATCATCACGTCTAATGCAGGTCCATTAGATGTGAGGACCCTAAGGGACATACCAAAGACGGAGTGGAGGGGTAGAGAGGTGAGCAGTCACTGCCGCAGGACTGAAGATCAGATGAGTATATATTGTTTATTCATGCTCCAAGACCAAAACGATCACTTAACCCCCGCAGTGCAGGGGTAGCCCCACTGCAAGGGTTAATATTTAAAAAAACCTGCAGTTCTTCTTTAAAGGAACAGTTAAAATTATTCATTCAGTTATACCAACTGGGTTCAGTTTCAAATATGTAAGCACCACTATCTTGCAAACCCTGCAGGAGCCAATCAGGGTTGTTTTAGTTTCATCATATTCTATAATTATAAGGGTCATTCTTTGTGTTTGCATAGCTTGGCTAGCAGTGTCTTAAATTAGTTGGGGTGTTCATATGAGCACACACTAAAGCCTCCTTGCAGCTTTGCAAAGTGTTATTTTTGGGTAGGCATAGTGGGGCAATCCTTCCTCTCAATACTGGGGTCCTAGGTTACATTTCCAGCAATGTATTATCTGCATTGAGTTTTATGTTCTCATTGAGCTTGTCCAGGGTGTCTCCGCTAGGATTACATTGTGTGCTCCCCCAGAGGAGAAACTGATGTGAATAGAGTGATGTACTATGTATAGCAGTGTGGAATATAATGGAATACAATGAGTAATTTGCAGCACAGACATAGAGTATCTATATGTATAACTATATAGACCATGACACAGACTTTGGAACAATTATGTTCTACTTCCAGCTGTACCATGCTGTATATGCAAAATAAAAAGTTCAGCAAGTAACATACACACCAATTTTGTTGCATTCTGTGTACATACGCCATGGTTTGGAGATCCAGTCAACACTCCAACATCTGGGAGAAAGAATTACCCTCTGTTTACATTATAGAATGTATCACTGTAAAGTGAATTACCTACTAAACATTGCAGTTTCCTGTGCTTCCAGGGCGTCACTGTGAGCTATACAAGGACCCCTGTTTGAATGTGACCTGTCAAAATGGAGGAACCTGTGACAGTGAAGGACTGAATGCCACCTGTGTCTGTGCTTCTGGATTTATGGGTGAGTAAGCTAAGGAATTCCCAGGTAAAAAGCTAGTTTTGCTTATTTATATGTTTGTTGATTTCCTGTAATATATTACTAAATACACTGGCTGGCCAAAAAAAAGTCACACACTCTAATATTTCGTTTGGACCTCCTTTAGCTGTGAATACGGCACACATTCACCGTGGAATAATTTCAATAAGCTTATACAATGTCACAACATTTATTTCCGTCTAGAGTTGCATTCCATTTTCCCCAAAATCTTGTAGTGATGATGGGAGAGTCAGACCACTGCATAAAGTCTTCTTCAGCACATCCCAAAGATTCTCAATGGGGTTAAGGTGTGGACACTGTGGTGGCCAATCCATGTGTGAAAATGATGTTACATGCTCCCTGAACCACTCTTTGACAATCTGAGCCTGATGAATCCTGGCATTGATATGTTGCAATATGCTGTGCCAAAAGGGAATAAAAAAATACATTCATGGAAAAACCTGGTTGTTCAAGTAGGCAGCTCAAGGCCATTCCTATAATGAGGTAGCTTGAGGCTGTTGCGCGGGCAGCATCACTTTGGGTTACATGGGATGGAGGCAGGCAAAGCAGCATGAGTGCTCTGCTGCACAATCTTTGCAGTGAGTCTGCCGTCCTCTATACGGCAAGAGCATCCCAATGTTGCCAAGAGCTGCGGAAAAGATGTGTAAGGGCCGTACACATTTTGCAGCCAAGCTCATAGCAAGCTGGGATGCTCTGGCCGGCGTCTCACCTAGCTCCTGGCAAGCGGTGTTGTCACTGGGCGGAACGCTGGCCCCACGCCCCCCCCTGTAGAGTGCATACGCCCCCTGTCTAAGGACACCCCTGAGGCAGCTGACCTCATTTTTGGGGGACATAATGTTGATGAACCTAGACCAGACTAACTGAAGCAACCCCAGATCATAACACTGCCCCCACAGGCTTGTACGGCAGGCACAAGGCATGATAGGTGCATCACTTCATCCGCCTCTCTTCATACCCTGATGCACCCATCTCTCTGGAACAGGGTAAATCTGGATTTATCAGACCACATGACCTTTTTCCATTGCTCCAGATTCCAAACCTTATGCCCCCTAGCAAATCGAAGCCTTTTTTTCCGATTAGCCTCACTGATGAGGTTTTCTTGAGACTACACAGCTGTTTAGTCCAAATCCCTTGAGTTCTCTTCGCATTCTGTGGGTGGAAATACTTTTACTTTCACTATTAAACATAGCCATACCTTCTACTGTTGATATTTTACAATTTGATTTCACCAAACATTTAAGTGATCTCTAATCACAAGCGTTCAAGATTTTTTTTACGGCCACATTTCTTCCTCAAAGATGGTGGTTCACCACTATTCTTTCAGGTTTTAAAAATGCATTGGGCAGTTCTTAACCCAATTTTAGTAATTTCAGCAGTTAGTTTTTTTGTTTGCTTGATGCAGGTCGATAATTTGACTCTTCTGAAATAGAGTTACGTCTTTTCTACGACCACAGAATATGTCTTCTGACATGGTTGTTACTGACAAGCTCCTCACTGCGTCATTTAGGGTTTAATAACTTATTGCCAGATGAAACATATTAATCCCTGCAGTAATTATCCAATGGAAGGCCCTATTTGCTTAGCTAAACCTAGGTGGTGACTTTTTTTTGGCCAGGCAGTGTAGGTTTCCATGCTATTGCTGGAAAGTTGCTGAGTGACATTTAGACAGGTAACCAGTTGTGTTCGTCATGGCGTGGACATTAGCAAATGATTTTCACAAAAGTGATCACTAATATATGTGGCGATGACATGTAGCTAGACACACTATACAAACAAAAATGTGTTCACTCCTGACCATCACACCTACACTTCTATATTGTCAATGTGCCCACTGTCTAACCTGTTTCAACCTTGTGGCAACACTTTGAAGAAGAGCCTTTTTTTGTTCCATTTTGTCTGTGCCCCTGTGCACAAAGCCAGTCTATAAATACATTTATTGAGGAGTTTGGTGAGGAGGAACTTGAGCAGGTTGCACCTCTGACCCTCTTGAACACCTTAGGAATTATGGGGCTGCCAATTGAGAGTCATGTCTCCCAAGACATCAGTACCTGACCTCACAGACGCTCTTTTGGCAGAATGGCCACAAATTCCCAGAGATACATTCCAAAATCTTGTAGAAAGTCTTCTTAGAAGAGTGAAAGCTGTAAATGGAGAGGTGGAAATCAGAATGAATGCCTGTGGTTTTTGAATAGGATGTCCAACAAGCTCGTATAGGTGTGATGTTCTGGTGTCCATAGCGTACATTTTACACATCACATGTGATGAGTGCACAGGACCAAAATATGCTGCATTTGTTTGCTTTGATCACATAAAGAATGATATGCAGAAACCCCTATGCAGAGCTGAAGAGAAGCCATGCTGGCCCCTCCAGGATACCACCTATGGTGCCATGCATTTAGGTCTGGTGCTGTCAGATGAAATGCATATAATATGAAAAACACATGTTACACAAGGCCGCTCTACAGTTCACCCAAATATTCACTACATGCCTACATGATAATTACATAGGGAATGCATCCGAAATAATTCTAATATGATGGTGAAATTATCTGAACCATGAATGTTTTTGGTGAATAATATCTTGTTTCATTTCAGGGGAGGAGTGTGAGGTCGATATAAACGAGTGTAACAGTAATCCATGTCATCATAGTGGTACTTGTGTAGACCAACCCAATGGATACATTTGTCACTGTCCACATGGCTGGGTTGGAGCCACCTGTGAGATCCGTAAGTATTTATGGAGGTCGTCATTTTAAACTCTGTCTACTAAGTGAGTTCCCTACTGTGGGTCAATAGTCTTCCTGTCCTAAATAGACTATAGGAAGTGAGCTGAAATATCTCAAAAGTGAGAGGAAGTCCCCTCTTAAACAGCTGTCACCAGAACAGGTGTCCACATAGGAAGATATTCATTCTATTCCATTTCCTGTGACATCTGTACATTTTTAGATTTCCCATCACTGTCTGTACCATTGGCAGTAGTTCACTCTTCCTAGAGAGGATACAGACAGCAAAAGAAATCAGAAGGGGGTGCTAACCTGTCCCTACTCCATCCAAAATAAGAAACACGTATGGGCCTTTGGGAAAAACACTACAGCCAATAATAATTTGTTATTTAAAGGAGAACTATGGGGTTAAGTATTTTCCCCATAGTTCTCCTTAGGGTAACGGGAGGACACAAACTAACGTCCTCCCGTCACCCTAGGCTCAGTATACCGCTAGCTGTAGCTGGCGGAGCGGGGAGGGGGGAATCCAGCCCCTCCCCTGTCACGGCAGAGAGCCGTGACAGAATCGAGAGGTGAGTGAAGGCCGGTATCTGTTTGCTCACTTCCCGATCTACTGAGCCGACCTGTGACAGTCCCATTGTCACAGGTCGGCTACCACTATGAGGTGAGTGAAAAGCACTCACCTCACAGTTCTCCTTTAATAAAAGCAACATATAATTCTTGTAGTCTACACCTGGAACCTGATTTTGTTAAGCGCTGGTACTACGGTAAGCATACAATTGGCTTAATGGGTTACAGTAAACACAAAAGCACACTTGGCTGGTGAAATGCAAGTGCAGGACAACCTAACTGGTGCAGCTGAACTTCAGACAAATATGAAAACACAAATTATTGCAGCTCTGTATTCACTATAACTGCGTTAGATATTTTTATTTAAATGCAAGCACTGTAAGTACTTGGTAACAGTCTCCTGCAGCCCCTGACCAGCAGAGCTCAGACTGGTAGAGGAAGGAGCAGAATCTGGAGCCAATCAGTTGCTCAAGTGCTAACAAGAAACATGCTGATTGGAGGATTGAGAACAACGTGACAGGGAAATGTGCTCATCAGTGTACTGCTACTCCTTTACTGTCCAGCCCCAGGCTGGCAGAGGGACAAAGATCTAAAACATGTTATTTACTACAACTCTACCTGTGTCCTGCCATACAGGGCTTTGGTGTGGGGCAGGCTTGTGTACAGTAAATCTCAGCACTGGATAGATAGGAATACAAATCCTATGTTGGATACTGTAAATCAGCTCCCATATATGTGCTTCATCTGTATACATGTATCTGTTTGGCTTTAAAAGCCTTTAGTGGATATTCTCTTCTCTGATACATGTATAATATTCTGAATTGTGTCTTTCATCATTTCCGGGCATAGATCTGCAATGGAAAGCTGGACACATGGCAGAAAGCTTGACAAACATGCCCCGCCACTCCCTCTACATAATCATAGGAGCTCTATGTGTGGCCTTCGTACTCATGCTCATCATCCTAATTGTGGGCATCTGCAGAATTAGTCGAATTGAGTACCAGGGATCCTCCCGACCTGCCTATGAAGAATTCTACAACTGTAGGAGCATCGATAGTGAGTTTAGCAGTGCCATTGCATCAATTCGACATGCACGGTAAGTAGGAAGAATGAGGGATGGATCTAGCTGGAATTACTGCATTTTTTATGTACAGTTGTAATATGCATGGTGAAAGTGAAAAACAGTATTACCTACACTGGTGAATCATATGCAACCAGCATAAACTTTTCTATTACCGGTACTTGTTGCCACCTAGAATAATTACAGCTCATTCTTTTTCCATGGTGGTAAAGCCCATAAAGGACCTTGGCCTCCTGGCAACAATTGATATTTACCTTCAAATCATGTGAATAGGCCTTCCTGTCCAGTTCACACAGGGTTATACAAATGTCTTCTTTAACCTTCTAGCTTGTAATATATCTGATTGGCTGCTAGTGGTAGAACTTTCACTTCCTTTCTTTCTACTCCGGGCTCCAGACAAAATCCAAACCCTTTCATTGGGGTTGAATCCCTTCAGCCCCGACCCCCCCTCCGCACCAGCGATGTTATGTACCTCGACGTTCTCATGTCTTAGGCCTTGTTCACACCAAACGCAGAGCAGATCCGGTCAGGTTTCTGCACACGCAGTGCAGTGGGTTGTGCCGCGTTTTTCATGCGTTTTTGATGCGTTCCGGGCCGTATTTGCTAAAAAAAAATAAAAAATTTAAGTTTAACATGGGCTTTCAGGCACTTGCATGCGTTTTTAATGCACTTTTGCGTTTTGCATGCGTTTTTGATGCGTTCCAGAGCAGGTAAAATAGGGCTTGCCGCAGTTTTTTCACCTGCTCTGGATCTGGTCTGGATCCGCACGCTGCGATGTGAACTGGAGGTCAAAATACCATAGGAATACATTGGACGCAGTTTTGATCCGGTCTGCACCTGCTCTGGTCTGGATCTGCTCCGCGCTTGGTGTGAACAAGGCCGTATACACTGTATAGGATGTGGTGACCACAGGACTGCTGGCATGGAGGGAGAGCGAGGCCTCATTCACACTACTAGCCGGCCCGTACAGATCCGTGCTGCGTGCACAGCCGTATCTGGCCACTCCCGGGAAGGACAGGTGATGCGAGTGATTGTACGCAGCCGTACGCTCACCCGAACTGCACATCCATGCAGGTGCGGGTGTCCCTGCTCAGAGTACGAGTACGGACACCTGCACCCGCACGAATGTGCAGTTCGGGTGAGCGTATAGCCGCGTACTCCCATAGGGAAGAACAGGCTGCTGCGTACAATCACACGCAGCACCTGTCCTTCCCGGGAGTGGCCAGATACTGCCGTGCACGCCGCACGAATCTGTACGGGCCGGCTCTTAGTAGTGTGAATGAGGCCTAGCAGCCAGCTGGGATCAGGGTTTTGTGAGTATATCCTTATTATTTTAGCTCCCTAGACAAAACAGGCTTTTAACCCTTGCGATGCGGGGGTCGCTCCACTGCACGGGTTAAGATGTTATTTGCCCAGAGTTCTTCTTTAATATCTTAGCGCCATCATGTTTACCTAATGCCCTATAAGAATTTGATGCATGGTCATTTGCAGAAAACAAGAACTACAGCGGCTCTGTACTTCACCAGGGTGCAAAGAAATGTGATAGAATATGTAATCAGCAAACCATTGGAAGCCATGTCTAAGATATAAGCCGTTTCCTCTGAATCATCTCTGCATTTTGCTGTGGATATCTACACATTATTAATGTGGAGTCACACTCAGCTGGAGCCTGCTTCCTTCTTTACAGTTACTATTTTCCTCTTTATTTCCTCTACTATTTCTCAACAAAAAAGGCAATCTGTTAGACAACATAACAGGAAAGAACCTGAGCACTGCAAGTGTGATGAGACCTATATCAAATATAATGGGGGGAATTCATCAAAACTGGAGCAAACAAATCTGGAGCAGTTGCCCATGGCAACCAATCAGCTCCTCTCTTCGGTTTGTTCAGTTAAGATTTGAAAACTAAAGATAGAAACTGATTGGTTGCCGTGCACAGCTGCTCCAGATTTTGTCTGCTCCAGTTTTGATAAATTCCCTTCAATCAATTCTAAATAAATGATGATCTTCAGGCACCTCTTCTCAATACTAATGAATAAATAGTAGGGATGCACCGATATTTCGGCCACCGAAACGTATCATCCGAAAATGGCACTTTTGGCAAAAACGCAGAGAGTGCCATTTTGTGGCCGAAATAGCGGTGCATCCCTGGTTTCTCCCCTCCCCACCGGGCGCTGCTCTGTGTCCCAGCGGGTAGGAGACAAACTGTCACAGGACGCCGAGCTGTGCAGGAGGAGAGCGCTGTGAGTCGGCATCTCTCCTACTGCACCTCTCACCCTCCTTTGACAGATCAGGAGAGCGGTGTGTGGGCGGAGACAGCTCTCAATGCTGTCACAGGAGGCCGGCGGTGATTCATTCATTCATGATTGTGGTTATAGTAAACATACTCTGTCCTCATGTTATGAATGAACAGGAACACTCAGTATAGAGGATTTCTGTTCATTTATAACAGGGGCTGCAGAAAAAGAGATTGAGGACTCTGTGTCCTCAATCTCTTTTTCTATTTTAAAAGGGAAATATCAGGGGTCTGTTTAGACCCCCAATATTTCCCCGAAGCCACTAAAAGTAAAGTAAAAAATATTTCATAAAAATAAAATATTAAAAACATTAAAAAGTTTATTTAAAAAAAGAAAAAAAAATTAAATATTTCAGAAAAATTTGAAAACGTTAGAAAAAAAAAACATTTTTGGTTTCAGCCTGACATTTGTTTTTTCATTTCGGTTTTGAAATTTTCATTTCGGTGCCCCTCTAAAGGTCCCCACACACCTTACGATAATCGTACGATAATCGCGGGAAATCCTGCGATCGTACGATTAAAATAGCATACCAACACCAAAGATTTCTGGCCCCATTGCCGCTAAGCTTGCCCACTGCAGACTCTTGTCCATTTGCTACTGCTGGTGTTCCTTCCAATAATTGATGAGCTAATAAAAAAAACTGCTTTCTACTTAATGAAACTTTTTTTTTTTTAATGTTTTTTTTTTTTGGAGGGGAAAAAATGAACCCAATAAAATCTAAAAACAGGGAAATGTCTAAACTGCTGCAAATATTCACGCAGCAAACAAGATTGAGGGGTAAATTCTGTATCGCTGAAGAATCAATTTTTAAGGAGTTTGCTCATCACTACTCAACATTAAAGTAGACCTAGCATCAGAGATGTTTTTTTATGTGCATGCAAGCTAATTAAAGTGTGAGTATAAAATGTACAGTTATTTATCACCTCTCAAAGAGATAACAGTATTCCCTTGTGAATACCTTCATCTATGTTTCTCATTAGAAGGATCTATGTTCAGATATCTTTCAGAGTCAGCAACTACTTCCTGGACTGAGATTCAGGCTCAGTGATGACAGGCCCCTTTCACACAGCTGTTCTAATCAGATTCATCTGTCAGTTAAGGTGCCCATACACCTGCCGATTATCGTACGATAATACGATAATACTTTCGTCTTCCGAGCACGCTGGAAAACCTGCCAAAAATCGCACGATTTTTGGCGGGTTGGTGGCGTGCTCGCACACTGCCCGCTCAGCACTGCAATCATCGGAAGCCCTCCCCTCAGTGGGGAGGGCTTGCGATGAACGCAAGTACGATCTGCCTGTCCAAGATGGGCAGATCGTACGAAATTTTAATTACCTTAAAACCATCGCACAATGAAAGTCGTGCGATGGTTGTAAGGTGCATGGGCAGCGTTAGTCTATAGGGAATCAGATGTAAACAGATGTATGTCCATTATTATCTCTTGAGTCCATTTAGATCCCCCCCCCCAAAAAGGAAAAGCTGCATGGTGATATGAAATCATCTTACATTTATTCGTTTAAAAAAAACATATTTTTGGTTTACTTACAATTATTGTTTTTCCACTTCCTGGTCCTCTTAGGCATTAGTAATGTAGCCTTTGCCTAAAGGTGCCCATACACTGCACGATTCTCATACGAGAATCACGGGAAATCCCACGATCGTACGAGAAAATAGACTTTTTTGGCTGTTTTTTTGTTTTCGATTTTTGTTTTCATTTGATTTTTAATTAAATTTTATTTTCTTCATCAGAATTCTTTCGACTAGCCACGAGAGATCCAAAGAAAACTTTTTTGTCACATTGTGAATGCTTGGTTGCCACATTGTAACAAGGTTTTGTGTTGCAAAACTTTTCACTTCAATTTTTTCGTTTCACTCCACTTATTAGCAACTTAATATAATATTTGTTTTGGAATTGTGTTTGTTTAGATGCCTTCACAGTTACACCTGTTTTTTTCCTCGGTTAGAGGTCTGAACAGATAGTGCCTCTGAGTATTGAGATTTATAGTTTGCAGTGTGGATGTTTTTGCATGTACGAGTTGTCATATGTCGTGCACCTTTATTCACACAGAGATTTGATTCACTTACATATAATTTTTTGTGAAGATTATGTTTGACACTTTATTGTACTAATTTTTTTAACACTATATCTTTGGGTGTATCACGAGAGGCTTTTAGCGCTGTACCTTGCATCGATCAACCCATAAGGCTTACCGCCTGAGTTTAGCAGCTTCTAGCCAGTCCGTTTTTTTCTGTTTGGTTCTTTTTTCCATTAGCGCAGGTTTTGTCAATTATTTATATGCTGTTGCTTGTTTTTCATCAGGTTCGGCAAAAAGTCTCGACCGGCGATGTATGAGGCCACTCCAGTAGCATATGAAGATTTCAGCCCCGATGACAAACCTCTTGTGACGCTGATTAAGACCAAGGATTTGTAGTCCGCTTAGTGCCCTTATTACGTAGAAGCGGAAAGAGGAATGCAACCAGCTTTTAAAAGGATGAATTACTTTAACTGACTAATACTTTTTAAGATACAGAAAAATGAATCTGAAACACGCTTCTCCTTTACAGGATTCATTCATTCCATGCAGTCTTCAGGTCACAGTCCTACGCAGCTGTGAATTAACCCCTTTCCTGCAAGAGGGGCTTGTGTGCCTCACTAGCAATAAATGGGTTAAATCTGTTGGAATTCGATCCTTGAATTATTGGCAGAATTTCCCCCTTTGTGTTAGCAATGTTACAGTCCAAACAGTATGCTGGCATTATCTGTAGAGTTAGGAAACGTATATAATACATAATTTATCCGTTGATAGGCATATTGAGAGTCTATGATGTTTGTGTTGTGAAACAAAGTAATCAAAGCCAGTGGTTCAATCTCTCTAACCAGAATTGACTAGACTTGTTATTTGTTCTTTTTTTTTTTTTTTGGCTTTCCTTCTCTGCATGGTACGTTAGCAATAATCCTGCCTTGTTTTCTAGAAAGTTGCTCTCAAGTCGATGTCCTGGTCCATAATTTTGTTGTGTTGGCTCCTGTACAAATTGGCAAGGAGCAGATTAGAACTAGGCCAAGCTCTTATTTTTTCTCAGACACCGCAAGGTTTTTCTATATTGTGAATAAGGCTTCATCTCCGCCTCCTAGGTACTGCTGGTTCCCCACAGAAGGAATCTGCTTCTTAGCTCGTGGATTGCATTGTGCTGTATAATTCTTTCTATGTGATAGACATTTTATTTCTTTGTTATAGACTTTTTCAGCTTTGTTCTTGGAAACTCCAGATATTCAGAATAAATGTTATGAAAATACTTTTGGTACTCATTGTTTTTTTCTTGAGTGTAACATTTTTTTAAATGCACAAATGAAATGGATGCTTATTGTAGTGCAATAAAGAAGTAGCACAGACCTCGAGTGATATTTTGCACACCCACGTAGTTGGGAATTATTGGGTCATCGGCAACCTGCCAGTGAGTACGATGCAGGGTTGCAGTCCCCGAAGAGGACACTTTCCTGTGCAGACAAAGGTTTGAGGTAAGCAGGGCCTCTGCCCTACCTAGGTACCCAGTGGGGTCCTGTTCTCTAGCCCCTGCAGAATTAAATTAAGGAACACTGACTGTATCTCTCAGTGTGCAGTCAAGACAGGCAATTGGGAGTTAAATTTAAAATTGTGCCAATTTCTTTGCCTTACTGCAGCAGCCCAGTGCCACTGGTGTGCCAGTGCAGCCTTCTCATTGGAGACTCTACTATGCATACACTCCCCATATTGTATTTCTGGCGTGCTCTCAGCTGTTCTCCACTACTTCTTCTCTCACCACTGCAAGGCAGCTCTCAAGAAATTGACCCCTTCCATTAGGCCACACTGCCTACAAGTGCTTTGGACACGAGCAGTACCGGTTCCTGCACTGAGAGGTCATGAGTACTGTTTGGTGAACCTGCTTTTTGGGCACTGGCTTTAACTGCATGGTTTTAGGGGCCCTGGTACTAAAGGGCAAGGGCAGGTTTTCCCTACAATCCTGATAATAAAGAAGTCGACTTTTCTCTCAAGGTCTATAACTGCAACTGTAAGACATACTTTTCTTGGTTCAAGGCTTTATCCCAGGAGGTTCTCAGTGGGAGGCATCTTGTCCTTTCTCCAATCAGGGTGTTTGGCCTTACAATCCACAAAGGGTCAGATCTCATTCTTAGTGGGGGCGGGGGTTTCTCAGAGGCCACTTGCGACCTAATCCTTAGTGAAGGCTTTAGTGCAAGGGGTCACACTGTTCGTTTTCAGGTGTCTCCATGAGAACTTAAGCTTGTTCTGTTGGCTCTTCAAAAGCCACCTTTTGTACCTATTAGGGATATTCTTCTTTCTCTTTACTAGAAGCATTATTACTTCTTGGGCTTTTGAGCATCAGGCTTCATTTTACCAAATATGCAAGGCTGCCACCTGGCCCTCTTTTCCGACATGTGTTACATTTTACAGGTGGATGTTCAGGCCTCAGCAGATGCTAGCTTTGGTTGTAAAGTCCTTCAGAAAGACTTTTGACCTATTGGACTTTTTCTTCCTGTTGTTTTCTCTTCTTGGGCATGATTGCCATTTGTTTGCTGTGTTACCTGGCTTTCTGTTGAATTGCATTTGGACGTCCCTTGGTATCAGATTACTATCCTGTATTCTGTGATGTATGATTAAGAAATTTAAGGATTTTTTACGGACCTGTAGATTTCTTTTTTTTTTGTAGTACATCACAGAACACGGATCTCTACCCTGTTTTTTGTTATCCAGTCTTGTACTGCTTTCTACAAAACTAAGGCAGGTGTTCAATTACCTGAAGGTGTACTCCAAGAAAATGATTTTACAGGTACATCACAAATCCTACCTTTTCTCTCACAGGCTTCCTGATCTCAGCGTGGCCCCGGAGAGAATGCATTGTACACTCTCTGGCAGGTTGCTGATGCCCCCAATAATCCCCAACAATTTAGAGGTGCAAAATGTCACTTCAGATCTGTGCTACTCCTTTATTACACTATTTACCTAAACACAGGTGGGTGGCTCTGAAAGTGGTCAGGGTTACACCAGAGTAACATACCCTTCCTTGCCTTTTAAAGACCTTAACCAGAATAATGAATTAAGGGAGGTGTATAGATGACTGGAAGAAAATGTAAAGATTACCAAAGTGTGAACAACCTTTAAAAGGCCAGTGCACTGCAAGGTCCTGGTTTCAACTGGCTTTGAATCCACCATTGTCACAGCAGAAATATGAAAAACTGGGAGCAAAAAATTATAGGTATATAAAAATGTATTTATACCGAATACACTATAAGTATATAGTGCTGACTGAATGTCTAGCTGTTGTGGAGTCATCAGCTATATATGCAAAGATTTTTAATTTATGAACAGCTGAAGATTCAAGGAAACGTTGCTGCAACCTATACAGGTAATGCACTCTACACCTAACATGACATGACACTAGCTTGACATTGGGGCCTGTAGACAAACATTACTGTTTTACAGGGCTTACTAAATTTTACTACATACATAGGCTGGTATGTCTGCTTTTAGATCCACTATTCCATATACACAAAATACTTTATTGTAAGAAAGGTTTGAAGGACAAAAGCATCAACTTCCTATTACACCAGGGGTTGTGGATGCACAATTGGCTGCATGAGCATCAAAAATTCTAAAGTGAGAAATAAATTCTTTGTGTTATGTTTTTGTTTTAAAAAATGAAGATTTATTGCGTGTGTGCTATGTTCATACTGGATGTCTAAAACTGGGGGATCTGTCTTACTTGTTTAGGAGAGAGTTTAACAAAGACAGTGCACTAGTGGTACACCTAAGGGCTTGTCCTCACTGGATACGATATCATACTTTTCACTGCCTTTTCCAACATAAAAGCACATATGTAAATACATTGTTCTAAATAGGATCTGTTATCACTGATGTGTTGCTTTGCATAGGGTTGTAAAAAATACCTGCATGCTACATTTAAGGTACAGTGGCTTGCAGATTCTTATGCCAGTCTCATTCCATTCAACTAAATAAAAACCTTAAACAATGGATTGCAATATATCTGAAAACACATGGCAATGCATGCTAACACATGTGTTTTCAAGTGCATCTGGAGATAATGAGCTCTTAGAACACAATACCTCTTTAGAATTCATGATTGCCACCTTCTCTGACTCCATTGAATATTTTCTACATAGTGTTTCTTTCGTACAAAGTTGAAGCTATCAGCTACAAAGGGACTTTTATATGCAGAAGATGGGAAACCATTCTTTCTCTGTGCTGTGTTTTTGTGTTTTCTATTCACCTGTTTCAAAGGTTTTTTATACTGTATTGCCTCTTCTCTTTAAGGTTAGTTGTCCAACATGTTAAAAGGAAAAATAATCTTTTATTTGCTCAGGCTTCAATTGACACTAAATTCCGGAGTTATATCTCAAAAATGCATTTAAGCACTTTAACTATTAAAGTGACACTAAACTCAGGAGTTAAAACTTAAAAATGCATTCTCTTAACGATTAACAAAACTGTATCTTATTTCAGGGATCCCAACCTGAAATAAGTCATTTCAGGGAGGTGCCCTTCTCATTTCAGGGAGGTGCCCTCTGTCAAACTATTGCACCCGCCCTCTGCTGCTGTCAGTCAACAGAGGAGGACCTGTTGGAGAACTTCAGGTCCACCTCTGCTGATTGACAGCAGCAGTGGGCGGGTGCACTAGCTAGTCTGCTATTGGCTATTGCAAATCAAAATAGCCAATAGCAATCTAGATATTCTTTCCTATGCCGTTTTTTTTTTCCTCTGACTGACGGCGGCCCTGGTGTCAAGAAAAAAAAAGAAAACAGAGAGCAGGGAAAGGTTTACTCTGCTACATAGAGCAGAGTAAACCTATCCAGTAGAAAATGTTTCTCTCCCGGGTGGCCGGGAGACACTATCTCATAGCATCCGGGAGAGTTGAGATGTCTGTTATTTCTGTATCACTGGACTGTAGATCCTCAAATCATCTATGAATTGGTGCCGACACTGTCCTTCCTTCTGGAGGGGGGCTACTTTGTTCCCCATGGTCCCTGTGTGTGTTGTAAAGTAGCCACTGCTCAAAGCTTTCTCCCGTGATGGACTACAATCTCATGTTTAGTTTACTAATTTGTATTAAAATTGTAGTCCATAACAGGAGCGAGCTTGGAGCGATGACTTCTTTACAACACACACAGGGACCATGGGGAACAAAAGTAGTCACCCTCCAGAAGGAAGGACAGTGTCAGCACCAATTCAGAGATGATTTGAGGATCTACAGCCGAGTGATACACAAATAAGATACATTTGTGTTAATAGTTAAGGTCCATGAATGTATTTTTAAGATTTAACTCCTGAGTTTAGTGTCACTTTTAGTAGAAGCCATAAATGTTTGTAATCACCACTCTTCTAAGAAGTATTGTGCAAATGTCTTATGTGGAAGCTAAATCCAACAACATCTGGTTGGGTGACTTTTGTTTTGCCTTTTATATGCCAAACGTCATAGTTGTAGATTCTGCAGGACGTGAGTCATTAGTGCCACCATCTGATGCCCAATATATAGTTTAGGATTCCTGGAGGAGAAAAGAGGTTCAGGAAATGTGCATGGAGATATGTAGCTTATTAAACCAACAGGCTTATTTAACATGAAATTTCAAGCAACATAAAATGTAAATACCCAACTAATGTTCCTCTGCTGCTGAGTCTGACACTGCTGGAAACAAGTGTCACTTTTAACACAGCCATAGGCATTTGGATGCCTTCTGAGCTGGCACATGATGGCATTCCCTGTAATTGACAGCTTCTTGGTTGTGGAAAGTTGTAAAATGAAGACTGATTAGTTAGCGCACTCCTGATTAGACCGGGGTTTCTAACTGTGTGATACTGAACGGAAAGAAAGGAAGGAGCACAACTAACTGGCGCAGACTTTGCGGAGGGGGATTGACCAGGGAATAACAGTGAAATGAGGTGAGAGTGGGTGGGGATGTAGAATGGGCACTCACGTGTGATGAGATACCCCCTTCACAATGATCCATTTCA